TCCTTAGAACATCTATTTTTTTCCTGTAAATGTGCTTCACAAGCTTTCATTCTGCAATCCACACAGCTGGTCATCTTTCTTTTCTGTTGTGTCTAAAAGCAGCCATATGTCATCAGCAACCCTCTCATGTATATTGAACTTCCTTAGCACATCAGCTTGTCTCTTTGAATGTGTTACCTGATGTCTTTAAAGTGGCAAAACACAGAACAGTGGGTCCTCCTGGCCCTTTGTTCATCAGACCAGCAAGAGTCAGGAATACGGTAGAGATGGGGTGTTTAGGCCCTTGGGCCATATCTATTCTAGCTTTGCTTTTTAATTTCTCCTTGCTTCAGCTTAACTAGCAGAATATGACCTCCATGCTATCCAGTAGTAAGTATGGTTACCCTTTATCGATAGGGAAGCCCCAGGGCTACTGAGCCCTGTGTGTTTGGTGTTAGATCATCCGTGGCAACTCTGATTCTCCAGCTCAGTCTGTCTGTCCAGGTGTTTGATTTGGTGCTCACCATTTTAATATGGGTAGTCTTCTCTAGGAATTAACGGAGACATAACAGTCTTTCTCCTCAAAATGTTAGCATCAGTGCTTGAGAACCATTACAATGTGTCTGGCAGGATGTATGCGCATAACAGAGAAGGATATTTATTCTAGGAGAGCTAGATCAAACAGGTAAGCTTTAATGAAAGTTTGAAAAGCTTTTGGTTCAAGAGATACCGTTAACCTTTTCTAAAAGCATGCTTAGTAATCTTGGTTCTGCGGTTCTGTATGTGAACGTCCCTCTTCTCCTTCACCATTTAGGGTGGCATTATATAGTTAACAGATTGAAAAGGTTGTGATGTGATGAGATGGGTGATAGGTAGCTAGGACCACGATTTAAATGGAACCCATACCAACGCATAGTCTGTCAGGGGAATATGCTCATAGCACTTTCTGTTGCTGTTGAATTTTGAAACTTCCGGAATATAAGTGGTTTCTCACCTTCCTAAAAGAGTTGCAGTCATCACATAGAATCAGAAGTGCATCCATTTTGGAGCTCAGTCCTGTGTCTGAAGCATGGCCTTATCCTCTGTAGACAGAGAACTAGGTGTTTTGTGGCACTGGTATTTGACCATCCAGTGGCACTGAAGAGTCCATGAGGTACCCATGGTTACCTTGACAATCAAGTGATGAGATACGCTCAGTAGAATGGGAATTTTTAGAGGTGGTGAGATTTTCAAAGCTCTTTCCTTTTTTATGAGCGTTAACTCATTTGTTACTGAGATTCATGTTGAAACAGACAATTAAGGAATACTTTCAAGAGGCTGAGAAAAGTTAAAGGATGTCAGTGTATTCTTTAATCCTGCCATTTGTAACAATCTGTAGCATTTTGTACTCATTACGCTTTTTAAGGGTGAATAATTTAGATTCTTCACCTTCTGATCAGAAACTCCCTTCTGTGTTCCTTCCTCTGAATTCAAATTTCTAAATAAGAAAATAAACTAATCTTATACGAAATTTTATAACTTGTACCTCAGTCTGAGTAAAATTATTACCTACATACACATAAACTCCTAAGCCTAAAACCAAATCCAACTAAGCTGGGCATAGATGGCACTTACACACCACTGCTAATTGTCGTTTAATTTATCGGAAGCAAATTGACAACATTTATACAGAAAAAATACTTTAAAATCACACAGGACAACACTCAACAGCCATCATTAAACAGCTTAAAATCTTGCGATGCATTTGGCATGAAATCACGATCCTTAGATGTTCAGAGAAAAGGAGCTCCATGGTACCTTTCTCCCATACATACCTATGTATTTAAGGCTGTAATGACACTAGCCTGCAAGAGATTCAGAAAGCACGGGAGGCTGTGACCTGTACCTTTAATTCATCTCAGCTAGTTCCACGCTGATGAAGTGATCTATCATCATTGCTCCCATACTAGAGCACATATTCCTCCAAGAAAGTTTAGCCACTGCAGGGGTGACTGGACTAACATCGCCTGGCATCCAGCAGTGTACAGACTAAACTATAGTTTTTAGTTAGAGAATATGGAAACTGACAACAAATTATTACTTGTGGTCTTTTTCCAGTTTTCAAGTGCAAACATACCAAAGTTTATTTTAAAACTGAGCCACTCAGACATTTAGTAATATAGATCAAAGAAGAAACGAAGGCCTCCCATGCTTATTATTTCAATATGATGTCTGTTCTAATAAAGTGTAAGAATGCCTGTGATAGACTAACTAGTAGGAATTTTCTGGTTCTGTAGTTCAGCCTTAAATATATACATATATTTGTAAATTAATCAGAAACATATTGTCGTGGTTTCAGTTCCTCGGAAAGCTGATTGTTTTCAATCCTTTCTTTAATCTTAGAAATATGGTGGCAGTCTGCCAGCACACTTTCAGATAAACAGTCCACTTCACATTTAAAAGCCGTAGAATCACTGATGTTGAAGGGGGGGAAAAATCAACAGAAAACAACACCAGTTCTCTCTCTCTCTTCCCCAAAATG